TCCAAGCGCTTCCCAATTAACTATTCCAAGCGTCGTCACACTTAATTTTCTGGTGATGTTTGTCAACATGGTTTTTACGTATGGCCCTGTCATTTAATTAGCGGATCCGCTGTGCGAATTACTAACGGCCTAGGTCATGCGTAACGCTGAGGGGTTGTCATCGTACAAGCCAGTTCTTCCGTTAATTTTTTGACGGTAGAGGTCTGAGGCAGCCTCCTCCCTCTTCACCATTAACTCTCAGAAGTGCCCCAAATGCAGCGCGCTTGGTACGAATTCACAATTTCGCCGCAGTGGGACCGCTTAAAATAGAATGGGGCAGGGAAACGTTTGGCGTGGTCTCCACCTCGAACATTTTGTATTATCGTACTCGCAAGATGTATGCTAGAGGCAGGTTGAGAATATAAATATTCATGTATCTAGATACCCTCTGATGCATTTAGGCACCCATGTGTTGGCAAACCGAAGCGCTCTACGCAGCCTCATCATTTTAATGGGGGGGGGGGGGAGGGATTGACAATTTCCCTTCCCTCTCTGTGGTCCTCAAATGTATGCCCCACGGAAAAGCAAATCGCTATTGGCCCCTCGCTAACAATCAACGCTTGGATGTCACGTGCCTGGCCCTGGAAGTTCATGGGCCAGTGGCTTAATAAACCGCGATTAAAATAAACAGCTTAGAGTGACGCTTTACCTTGAAAGATGTCCGTACCGCCAGGTGTGCCAACCAACTTTCTGCGCCCTCCACCTGCGAACACGCATGTTCCCGCCGTCGTGCATTTGCTGAACTGTCAACGCGCACCCTACATGAAGCTTTTCATCCCGCGTTTCCAATGCACGGTTGCCATTCAGCTAATTGCAGCCCTCAAGTTAGATCAGCGTCTGATTCCGCTGGCCCAATCTCTCCTCACTCGGCACCCATTCGGAGCGATCAGTTCTCATCAGCCGCTGTGATGCAGCATGACTGCGGGCGCCACTCGCCGCGCAGCAGCCCGACCGGCCCACAAAGCCCTCCACTGGCAGCAACTCCACGACTGAACTGGTTTTCGTGGGGGGGGGGGGGGCACCGTCCGTCTTGAAACGATGCCCGCGCTGGCAGTGGGTCACGCTCTGCCTTAGGATGAATTAAGGATGGGGTTCACACAAACCAGAGGCAAAATTTATGAATGGCGACATCATTTGTTGAACGCGTATAGATGCCACAAAGCCATCGGCGTGGCACTCGACGCTTGCGATACTTCTGCCTTCTTTCCCCATTCACGCTGTATGCTGCATACCCTAGCGCATCTGTTACCCGGGGTCAAGCTGCTTGCACAAGCTGCGAGTGGGCTTTAGTGCCGCCTGGTGAGTGTGCCGTCCGAGCCCAGACAGGAGCCTCCTAACGGGCTAACCTCGAAGGCCTCTCAGGTGTATGCAGTCTTGCCCCACCCCTATTCACTCTCTTACATCGCATAGCCTAAAAGTTACCTAAGCTGGCCGCTTATCGCCGAACAAGTTCTTATTCAAACCAAATAATAAAAAGTTCCCAATGTTCTTCTCACACAAACGTTTTGCACTCTTGTCTACCACGCGTGCATGGCTCTTGCCCGTAGAACGCACGTCCGCTTATGTCATATTTTTGCTGAATGAGTCGCAGTTTTCCGAGTCATCGCCGCTACATGCAGGCTGCATTTTCCTCCGATCTCTCGTCTGATCGCGCAGGCCATTTGTTTGGAGAAGTGGTGCCCAAGAAGCCTTAGCTGCATGTTTGAATGTCTAGTACACTGTTTTTAATATTTGTAGCCGGTTAGCGGTGGTCTAACGACCGCATCTTTCTTGCGCATCCGAATGTTCGAGACGATTCGAACAGTGCAGAGGAACTTGACTCCTGGCCTCGGGGTCCGTTTTTCTCCGCTTAGCGCCGGTTGCGTCCCTCACAGCGCCAGAGACATGCACACCGCGCCGGCGCGCGGCTCCGTCGCGTGATGGGGGTCGCGTCCTCAGCTGCGCGCCCCGAACCTAATGAAGACAGGTGGGCCCGTCCCTCGGCGGGGCATGCCATCGCTCGCCTGCACCGCCTGCCGGAGCGGCGCGGACGAGACGAGCCGGCCCGCCCACGCCCGCCCCGGGAGCCCGCCGTCAGCGGTCTCACTCGTCGCTCTCATTTGCGGCGCGGCGGTTACAGCGGCGTCGCTCAACTGCCCCGCGAGGGGGCGATGACGCGGCCACCGGCTTCGGGGCGGCGGCTGATGACGCCACCGAGAGTCGAAGATTACATTTGCGTTGCAGAAACGACGGCCTGCGCTGAAATAGGGGAGAAGCGCTTCCGGCGGTTTGGCAAATGTCTCGCGCATGACTCCTCTTGCACAAAAATAGACCGGACGTGTGCGCAGCCCACGCGCCGTTTAACGCCGAAGACAAACGGGCAGTCGCAGCATGTAGCCTCTCCACCGTTAGCCGACAGCTGATTCAGCATTCTGCCACGTCCTGGTGCAGCATGCTGCACGTTTGTGAGAGCACTGCGCCGTCGCGCCCTGTCCCGCTACCTTCAGCGCGGGCCCATTGCGCCACCGCGTCCGCAGCGTGTCCCAGCCGGGTTTAACACGAGAAGGCGGCGGCCGGCGCCGGGCGCAGCCCAGGTGGTGTCGCGCGCGCCCTCACCGCCACACGGCCTGCTTAGTGTCACATTACGGCACGTGCGATGGGCCGCCGGGCCCGGCTGCAGACTGCAGCCGCCTGGAGAGATGAGTGGTGTGCTCAGCCCCGCCCTCCCGGCTGCGGCCCGCCGGAGCCGGACTGGCGCTGCCGGGCCAGCACCACGCGCTCAAGCACGTACATACCCGCGCTGTATTACCATTGGGTTACGGTTTCAAAACTCTGTATTATTTAGAGGGTTAAATAATTAGAATGAGCAGCTGACGCCGATTGTCACACAGCTCAGTCAAACGCCACGTCAGGATGAGAAACGGTTTTCCGAGCACGGTCTTGATTGGGTGCTGTAGCTGACCGCACCGCGCCGTTCCCATTACTCCTCAAACAGAAGCAGGTCAGCTGCTCCTACGCCCCTTAAACTGGACCATGCAGGCGACGCATTTTAAACGCATTTCTGAGAATCCCGTGTTCTCATTACAGCTTGGGTGCGGTGGGCGCGCCTCTGCCCCTCTGCCGGGCCACCTGAGCATTGGTGCGCGGGAACTTTCATCACATTGTCTACAAAGCCCCCGCCCCGCCGTCTAGGGTCAGTTCCTGAGGCACTAGTCATTTGCTAGACTTCATAACTTCGCCCTGTCGCTATTTACTGACGTATATTGGGCTTTCCACGTCATTACTTGCTTATGTTTGCTAGTTCATCGTCCCACCGTTAACCGCGGTCTAGCAGGCCCTGCAGCTCGTTGTCCACGTTGACCCTCCGAGCGGGCTTGGCGCCACCGCCACAAAGTTGGGCCGCCATACAGGCTGAGTGGGACATAAAGAGTATTTATATTGTGCAGGCCTGCAATTTTGTTTTCCATACAACACATTGCGCGGATCGCAAAACTGCGAATTGCTGGAGGAGGGAGGGATGTCCTCCCCCCCCTCCCCCACCCTTCTCCCCCGGTGGCGCCGTCCCCGCCTCTCAGCCGGTTTACTGGTTCTCGACATCACTGCCGACTGAGATTGACCGGGGTCTTCCCACACCCACTGCTGCCTGAGCTCCATATATCCCTGATCGGCGGAGGCGTCACCATCAGCTGATTGACCACCAGAGACGGGGTCAGTCCGGCCGCCGCCGGCGTCATCCCTCAGCGGAGCCTGGCAACAGGGCTGACAGTCCCGCCCGCGCACTCGGCACGATTGAGGCTATCACGGCGCTCCGCCTATCCTTCATCACCGCTACCCGCTAATGGTATTGCCCAAAGTCGCGCTTGGCCGTCGGACGCGGCGCGTAATGCGATGACATCGCGTCTGGCTGATGCGCCGAGAGAAGAGGAGAAAGTCTTTCTTGGTGCGCGCTCTTCTGGCGCTAGAGAGCAGTACATCTCCCACCCACAGATCGTGCCGATGTTCTGGCCTCATCGCCGCACCACGCCCACTGTGTCCCTCTGGAGCTCCAGCCGGGGCTGGGGCTCCAGCCAGGGATCCTCAGACGTTCGCCAGCGACCACGCAACAACAAAGCGAGCTTATGTTATTGCACACAAGCGGTAAAATACACACAACCAGCATTGGACGTTCAGTACACTGAATAAAATGTCAACAGGGCGTCGCAGGACGCATAGCAATGACACGCAGGCAGCACAGGTGTGGAAGACGACGGGAGGAGGGCGCCGAGCGGCCCGCGTGGCCGTCAGGTGTTACAGCGCGCCGAAACGACACGAGAGACCCATGGAAGCATAGCAGACAAGCCGAGTCCAGCCGAGGAAGCACCCAACGTCGGCGCCCCGTGGCGAGCGAGGCGCCGATTCACGACGTTTGTAAACCGCCGAGTAAATACGGCCTCGGGGGACGTCGCAGCTATCAAAAATACCGCACGCGCCGCCGGCGGCGGCCTGAGGTCGAGTCGCACGACGCGCTCGGCGAGTGCCAGCTCTAAAACACAACAACGCCTGGCACGGGCCGCCATCACAGAGATGCCACCATCAAAAAATATCATTCAGGAATGCGGTTTCAAGGCACTGGGTTGTCGGCTCTGCCAGCGGAATGGTCCCTCGGAGCGCCGCGCCCTGGCGGCGATGGGGTGCATCGGTGAGAGACGTGCCTGATGACGGATGATGACGGCGCCCCTGCGTTATTGTCGGGAGACACCTCTCCCAAAGCGGCCGGGAAAAGCCCGCCGGTCCGCCGCGAGACGCAGCACGCCCCGCTGAGTCCTACCTAACGACGACGACGGCGCGCCCCTGCCAGGTCAGCGCGCGCTGCCCGAGGCTCCGACACGCAGCTCGAACACTGCGCCACCCTGTTGATTGCGAGCCCCGCGGCCCGCCCGACACCGCCGGCGGGCACACGCGCCCGGCCGCGCCGGCCACGTACCGCACGCCGCCAATGGACGGATGGAGGCAGGCGCTGTGTCGCCCGCAGCTGCACTTCAAAACACGGCCCGGCGCCCGAGCCCCGGGCCCCCCGGCCGCCGGGTGACGCCGCGGCGCCGTCCGGGACGAGCGCAGAAGGCCGCGCCCGCCAACCCCTGACCTGAGTCGGGCAACGGAGCGCCGACAAGGCACGGTGACCAGTCGCCGGCCGCCCCGCCGCCGCAACGGCCATCCCTCAACAGCGACGGCGGCGTCTCAGAACAGGACCCAGCCACGGCGCGGCGCGGCACGGCGCCACACTACAGCACTGGCCAGCGGCTACGAGTCCAGTTCGAGCACTCGCTGCAGCAGCTTGTTGGTCTCGTCGATGCGGTTGTGGCGGCTGCGGTCGCGCGACTCGAGGTCGGAGCGCTTCCGTACGCCTATCACCACCTGGTCTCGCTCTTCCTCCACGCTCGTCCTGCCGGCCACGGCCTCACGCTCATCCCATGGTCACGTTCAAGGTCGAGGTCAAGGTCGAGGTCAAGGTCACGAGCATAATCACGGCCCTGGTAATGATCGCGGCCTTGATTACGATCACGGCCTTGATCATGATCATGGCCACGATCACAGACGCGGTTACGGCCAAGATCACGGTCACGGTTCACACCACGAACACGATCACTATCACGGCGATCTCGGTCATGGTCGGGCCGGCTGGCCTGGCCCGGCGCATGTGGCGACACATGATGTCGGGCGGGAGTGTATGGCCAGGCATGCCCCAGGGCGTGAGACGCACCCCTGTTTCCCACGGCAGACAAACGATGGTGCCCGGATATGGCCCGATTATAAATCACGAACATTTCGTTTACGAAGGCACGACTTCCGCTCATCACTTGAAGGACCAAATTGAGGATAGCGCATGTCATCGCGTAGAAAGACAGCGCAGCGAATTAGCGGGCGTCCCTCAGCGAGCGTTGCTCGGTTCCACCTTGACCAGCTCGTCTTCCCAACCACCGTCACGACCACTGGCCCTCTGACGAACTCGTCTCCCATCCACCGTTACGACCACTCACCCTCTGACGAGCTCGTCTCCCCATCCACCGTCACGACCGCTCACCCCCTGACGAGCCCGTCTCCTTATCCATCGTCACGACCGCTCACCCCCTGACCAGCTCGTCCCCATCCACCGTCACGACCATTCACCCTCTGACGAGCTCGTCTCCCCATCCACCGTCACCACCACTCACCCCCTGACGAGCTCGTCTCCCCACCAACCGTCACGACCACTCACCCTCTGACGAGCTCGTCTCCCCATCCAACGTCACCACCACTCACCC